AAATTGTTTTTCAATTATTAAAAGACAAAATTTATGAAAAGAATTATTTTTTTTTTTTATTATTTATTCATTGTTATAATAAATCCTTTTTTTATTAAACTAATGAAAAATTTTAATGCAAAATATTTTTTTCTTTATCAGTTATGAGAAGTTATTTATAATGTTTGCAATCATATTGCTACCATTTAAAGTAGCATAACCAGATGAGAGTTAGAAACAGTTCAGTCTCTTGTCACAAACGGTTGAGATTTTTCTAGCTCAAACAACTATTGAATACCAATCGAATTAAAGTATCAATCGTACTATTATAAAAATATTTACTATAGAAAATCTCTGATTATGTTTGCCTTATTGAAAGTATTACATAGATAGATTTATGAAGAATTTCAATTTATGTCTGTCATTCAGCAGAGAATTAAAGGCATTATCGATGAAATAAACACTACGTGCATGTTTTGTTAAACATGTCGTAATGAAACTTGTATGTACCCTTTTTGGCTACAGATAGAATGCTATATTCCAAAAAAATTTATGTTTATAATCTCCTTTTGTAAGTAATAGATATAAAAATTTTATAAGAACGAATTTTAGTTTTCTTCAATTAAAGCTTGATTACATTCGAAAAATGTTTCAAACTTCATGGTTGTAACCGTATTGAACGAAGTAGAATTGTTGTTAGTGATACATACAATGCACGGAATGTTAAGGTGTTACATTTTTGAACAGTGAAATCTCTTGAAAATTCATGCAGTTATACACTGTCTTCCAAAAAAAAAGTTGCCGCTGTAATAGGCATCTGTACTTTATAAAAGTTTAAAATTATATTATTTTCAAAATTGAAATTCTTAAGGGCTAGATAAACAAGAAATATATCGTAATCACTGAACTAAGTCTGACAGAAATCAATAATAGATTTATGTTAAAACTAATGATTGAATGACATAATTAAATTTTTCTTTTCAATTTTCTATACAATACTCATCAAAGATCCGAATAAGCATAGTTCGGATACCCGCGACTTGTGTCGCAATATTATAATGATAATTGAGCAGTGTTTGACTGTCAGAAACAGATTAACAAAAAAAAGAAAAGAAAACATTTAGGATTAATCAACGATTCATCAAAAATAATCATTATCGATTAGAAAGTGCGAACGTTAATTAAACTAAATAAATAGACAATAAACAATCTAATCACAATGGATTATTAGTCATGATTGTGTCTAGTCAAAAGAATAACAATAATAATAGAAAATTAATTTCTCATATTCAAGTGTTGTGACCAATATAAATATTAGGATTTTTATCTATCTTCAATAGACAGACTTAATAGCCTATTTAGATTTCTGTTACTTATAAATTATCTACTACAATCATTGTCAAGAGCAAATAGTTGATAATACATAGATACATCCTATAGTTTTGGTACAATATTGATGATTATGTCTTTATTAAGATCAATATCAAACATAAACTTAATATCGAGATATTTCATACAATCTACTCTTTGTTTCTATACATAACTTCACAGAACAACAACAACAACAACAACAACAAATATATATATATATACTTCGCATCTCATTCAATAGGACAACAAATCATATATACAAATAAAATTTTTCTTTTTCATCGTCGATTTATGAAACGTAAATAATTTCGATCAAAAATATGTTGATCATTTTTTAATGATGAATTTTCATTTGATAAACGAGCAATACTTGAATGTAAAAGATCTTCATCAATAGTTAATACAGCATTAACATTAAGTGTATTATTATTATTATTATTATTATCATTTTGATCATAATCACCAGTTGATTTTTGACGACGACGATGACGTTGATCACGTGCTTCTTGTTGTTTATAATGTGTTTCTATTGTTGATGTACCCGTATGGGCTAATTGAAGATCAATTAATGTTTGAATAACATCTTCAATACAAATGCCCGTATCCATACTAAACGAAAAAAAAAAGTTGTTAGCAGAATCTCTGCAAGATTAAAATGTAGAACACATTTCTTCACCATTTTTTTTGATTTAATCCTTCAGAAATGTAACAAGTAATACTCATAGTTGCGATTGGCTTGATCTTCGACTGAATATTCAAATCTTTTTTTGCATAATATACTATTTTACAAGCCCAATCGATACTACTTAGCATCAGATACATGTGTCAAAATGAGTGTGCATGCTATGTGATACCGTTCTTCGTCTATCCAATCAATCACTTTCATATCCACAACTACACTAAAATCTGCTAGTCCGAGATAAATGATTGAACGAAAGTTGGAAAACGAAAATACTTGATTAATTGAACTTAAAGCCTAAAGTAGTCATTTAAAATAGTTACTCGAATGTTGTAGATATATATATATGTGCGTACGCGTGACTAAACACGTGCATGCAAACATACATTAGTATAATCGCATTTTATTTTATATGATCTTTGCTGTAGTTCAGAAAATATAAAAGTAATTCACGATCTGTGTGAGGTTCAAATTTTTCTCTGTATGCTTCAGTATTCATTTTAGATCATGTTGTATAAAAAAAAACAATCTATTTAAACCTTAATTGTGTAACTGTAGCATGTGTTTGTGAATGACGATATTCATCAAGTTTTGTTAATATTGTCGAATGCCAATAACTTTTATATGTCATTTGACCAAGAGCTGATAATGGTTTTTCTGGTGAACCAGTTTTCTTTTCAAGTTTAGTTAATTCATAACCTTTAATGAAGAGTAAAGATTTTTTTTTTCTTTTCTTTTTCTTTAAATAGAAATTTACTTAATGAAATTAAAAATCGACCAAAACCTTGTCGTTGTCGATGAGGTAATACCTAAGAAAAAAAGGAACATATTTAATAAAAATACTTAACATAATACAATCACAATACCATTAAACAAGCCAAATTATAAAATTCATCACTTAATTTTTCCTATAAAATAAATTTTTTTTTTCTCTTAAAAATCATTGAAAAAAAAAACAAGAAATTACTTTTGAAAAATAACCAATAATATGCTGAACATTTTTCATTCGTTTATCAGATTCAACCAAAACATAAAAAAGAAATGGACTAACATCAAAATAAATTGTTTTTCGTTCTAAAAATAATTTTGCTAATAAACAAAGACATTGACAATAAAGCTAAAATGACGTATAAAGAAATTCTAAAGACATTTCTTTCTATCAAATGTCTACCTCAGATGTATTTCCATCAACTTCATATACTGATAAACCATTCAAATCTTCATAGATTTTACGACCAGGCGGTTGACGTCGATTACATTCATTCTAAAATTAAAATTAGATTATGAAAGAAATCAAAGATTAAAGTCTAATAAAGATTTTTCGATATAGATTTCAAGATGATAAATCGATTGATATGGATTAAAAGTAGTACGATTTCACTAAATATGAACTTTAGGTAATTCAATTTGTTTTTTTATTGACTTTCGATTAGTTAATTCGACTCGAAACTGTTTTATTAACGTTCGAATCAATTGAACTTTTTTGTTTCCGATACCAACCAGTACAAGCAAACAGACCGGCTTAAGTCATTCTTCATTATTCCAATCCTATAATAGTCAAGTTAACCTCTCTATTCGACAAATCTACGTCCTAACCACTACATTAGTGGTGTAGTAATTGTTTTCAGTACTTTTTTTTTGTCTCTTAGTTTCTATTTAGTGTAATCTTTCAGATCATCGAAAATGGTATATTATTGCATCAATTTTGACTGTATTTCGTTATAATCCGTCTAGTTATCACTTTTCTACTGTTTTACAAGCTTATAAAAAACGCTAATGTAACATCACCGTTCTATTCGTTCCCATAGGCCCACGAGAAACTTAAGTTATCTCGGTTTCCTTTTCTATGTTAACACTCCTTCTACAAATCTAACAATAGGAAGTATAAGCCTGACAGAATGTATGCTAGGGAACGCAATAGAAGTGTCAGTCTCGAAGTTTGTTGTTTCTGCTTCGGATGTAGGAGATGTCTATATTCCACTGAAACTCACACTCAAAAAGAACTAACGTGAGTAAAATTTATGAAAATCATAGTAGCTTGAGAAGTTCTAAAGTGAAACGGAATGAATTTAATTTTTCGTGAACTTCTCTCAATATCAGCAAGAAAAAAAAAACTTTTATGATCGACCTTTTGAAAGAAAAAATAAGATTCATCCTAATCGGTAAGAAATTCTGTATCGGATGAGTCGTAGAACATTCTGTGTTTTTTTTTTTTTGTAATATAAATTTTATTTACCATATGTTGTCGATAATTTTTATTATTAAGAAAATATCGTAAACAAAATTCACAAATATATAATTTATCAATAGTACGATTTTTTTCATTTGAATTCTCATCTGTATCAAGATATGGTGAATGATACCAACAATCAATATCAATTTGACCTAATTGAATTGATGTAATATGTTTTGTATTATCGGGAATCTATTTTAGAAAAGAAAATAAAATTAAAATAAAATAAAAGTAAAAAAAAAAAAATTTTTTTACATCAAGTTGATCATCATCATCATCGTCATTCATTGAATCGTCGTCTACCATAATTTTTAAATCTACAAAATAGAAGATTTTATGCTTCATTTTTGCATCTTTTGAAATTCTTTGAATATGAGACTATTGTTTACTTGAATATTGCTTTAATATATTATTTTCTTTGAAACAAAAAGTTCGCAATAGCCTGTGTCAATTTAAAAACTACATGATAATATTTAACTTGATATATTTATCAATAATTCGATTTAAATAAGTCTATACCAACTTCTAGATCATGATTCAACTCATGCTATCGAAATGTTTATTGCAACATGAAGATAATGAATAAGAATTCTTAATCGTTGCAAACTAATTTTCAAGTTCTACTTAATAACAAATAAAAAAAAACCGACATATCTAGAGAAACAAAAAATATATAATAAATCAAACTTAACTAGTTTTTATTTTATTTCAAAAACAAAAAGAACAAATTGAAATTTTCTACACAGACGCTGATGTAGTTGATGAAGTCATTGATTGTTTTGCTTTTTTTTCTTCAAGTTCTTTCTTATAATCAATAAGTGCTTGTTCAGATGGTGTTGGTACACGTCGTAAAGATCGATCATAGAAAGGATAACGATTTGGTTGATTATTAGGTTTAAATTCTAATTTATCTACATGCCATCTAAAATGAAGATTTATTTTAATCATATATAACAACATATGATAATTGATCTGCCTCTTACTCATCATCCAGTGAATCTCTTGTTGCATAACAATAAACAGTACCAGATCGTTGAGCACCTCTAACAGGAATTTGAACCTAAATAATAATCAAATTTTCATATGCAAAAAAAAAAAACATTTGATTATCACAAAGATATATAAGATTAGATTAGTTTCAATATAAAACTCATTTATTAGAAAAAATAATTAGATTGACTTACTTGTGCTCCAAGAAGTGTAAGTTTATTGAATTCATTTGATGTATCTATTTTAAGTGATTGAATTGGTTCAACTAGTTTTTCTGTTATTGGTTTATAACCACGAGTTAATAGAAGAGCTTCTTCAAAAAAAGGCTTTTCAGTATAGATACCTAAAAAAAAATAAAAGTTTCAATTACATAAAAAAATTCATTATTAGAATATACTTGGACTTGGTCTTATCATATATTTATATGTTACATAACCCACAAAAACCATCGATGAACCCATCACAGCAAATTTAAATGCCATTATTCAATGATTAAATCAATGAGAAATAAATCAAACGAAATTAATTGATATGAGACAATAGTACTATGGATGTTAATAATATCTTATTGCTTAAAACATATTTTGTATCTACAAATCAGATTTATATAGAATCGTTAGAATCACAGACTAGTGTCATCTAGCGAAAATATGACATTTTTTTTTAACTATGTCGTTCGCATTATAATTATCCAAAAAGATAACAAATGAAAGTAGCATTCATTTCATTTTTAACAATCTGTAGGAACCAATTTAGACAAATCTCTTCTTTCAATTACATGTCACCTAAGTCAAACTTTTAAAGTTTCATATTCATATTTCTTGTTACCGGCCACATGTATTCAAAAAAAAATATCATTAATAATGTGATAAGCTTCTACATTTTCTTTTGATCAGATAAATGAGTAAGAAAAATACATGTATGTTTGTTACACAAAAAAAGTCAAATCGTCAAAAATTTTTAAAATTCAAATGACGGAAAAATAATGATTAGCCTTGAAAATGCTTGATCAGACTATTTATTATCTTGACAAATAACACAAGAAAATCGTCTGAATTATTATCTTTTTCATACAACAGATGTCTATTCAGCAAAGCCGCTTCTAATCTATCTTCCAATATTATGTGATTATAACTATGATTACGATAAGTATGAACTATATTATCAATATTCTAATTCAAAACAGCACCGATGAAAAAAATTAATAAACTCTTATCTAGTCGATTAACAACAGGAACACCAAGCAGTGTTCGTTTCGAAAAAAAAATTTCCTGTTTTCATATGAATATAATTTATATGATTTATAATGAATTATTATTATATTAAATAATTGGTATAGTTCTGAACATTTGTTAGATTCTTAAAATTGAAATTTATTAGATTATAAAGATAGGAAAAATTTTGCAATTAATAGGAGTGAAGAAATCCTCGTTTAATATATTGACACGCAAAACAACAGTCATTTATTATTTTATTTACTGAACAAGTTGTTCTCTAATTTATTACTTTACTTCAATTCTTTTCTTTATCAATATCTATCTATCATATAATCATGTAACCAGGATTTGAGCTGTGATAGAGTTTAATATGATTAGGTTCTTCAGTGAAACGACTCTTCGAGAAACCTCCCCAAATGTCAAATCTCTATTCGACCGAGACGATATTCATTCGATGAGTACTAGTAAGTAACAGAAAAGATTAGAATGTTTTGATGTTTCAGGCCTTCGTTCTTGAAATATCCAAAGTTTACTGAGTATTTCAACAAGAAACTATACTATCCCTTAGTTCATATGGAAAATTGATTTTCGAATTTCGACTTCAAACTTTGTATAAACAAAGTCTTTGATCAGATTAATTGATCGAGCAACTTTCACCTTCTTTTGTATTCTTTTTTGAAGATGTACATATATGACGAAAACTTGCTTTGACACATGATATAATTTCCAATATTCAATATTACAAGATATAAGATATTAGATAAGCTACAGCTGGCATAATCAACTAATATCATTAAGAACTTTGTTCATGGAAAGTTTCAAGTAGAGATTTGAAAGTTGATTTGCCATGTGATCTATGAAAGACCACAGTTTTTCTTTGGAAAAATTCAGTAAAATTTCAATATCTTAAGAATGAACCCTATAAAACAAAAAAAATTTCTAAACTTGTCTATCACTCATTAACAATTATCAAATGAACGCCATCTCTGTCGAAAAAGCGATTTCGCACCTGCATACGTTCCATCGTCAGATAGCCGGAATCTGTCTAACGTGGTAGGGATTGATGTCACACTTCGATTAACTACGCCACCAATTCAATGTTGATCTTAGTGGATGTCATCGCTTAAATTCAACCCTTCTGTTTAAATGTAATTTTGTTGAATATTTTATAAATTATATTAAATTATTAGAAAGAAAGATATAAAAAGCGCTTCCTAGCAACGTATATCTTCCCATTAAATAATCTGTAATAATATTTCATATGAAATGGACACTAGTTAATTGACGTAGATATCATATGATTTGAATATTCTTATATATTAAGAGTAGATCAATGTCTTCGTTTTGCAACTAGTGACTGAACTGCTTTATGGAAACTGTGAAGTTTACCACTGTTGGAGTCTTCACGTGTACTTTTGTCTGGTATACATATTCTACCAGATGATACGAGCTGTCAGAACATTGTAGAGATAGCTCCAATGATTTCTGACTTTTCTTTTTGTTTTCGATGTCGCTATTATCAAAGTGCTAATGATGTTAACTTAGCAGATACGAAGCAGGATGTGAATGAGTGTGGATATAAGGGTTTTCGTCATTCACAATCATACATCGATACCCACACCCAACATCCAGACTCACATTCATACGTTCAGACCCATGCACTCAGACTCAAGTCCACACATCTACACCACCCAACACTCATATCCACACCCACATCCGTCTCTCTAACAACTTGAACATTTGTCGAGCACTTCACATTCTTTCTTTCCTGGAAGACGCTGCTCTTCCTGCTCTCCTCTTTGGGTGAATCACGGTTTGAATTTATCGTTGTTCATATATATGGACACATGATTACTGGTCGTGTCTGTTTGTGTGAAGTGCTCGTTGTTGCTCTTAGCAGAGTCAAGTGAATGTAGCGTTTGTTATTTGTAATTGAAAGATAAAGCTCCCCAAGCGCGTAGAGATAAAATATGCAAACACATACAACGCACATTACATTTCTTCATCAACTTCTAACTGATGTCGTTTTTGTGGTTCTCTGTCCCTTGTTTTTCCACACGAGTTCTTTTTGAACGAATTGGAATCATGATATTTGTTTTCCTAATCAGCATAAGTCTCTCTCATGGTTACAACTGTTATGTGTGCAACAGTGTTCTGACACCGGGTTGTGGTGAACCATTTGATCCGACTGCTAAGGAAGAATTCACTAAACTCATAGAATCTTTTCTCCTGATGATCGTGTTCATTTTGAAATGTTGTTATCAAGAACAATGAATGGCATGTCTGGAGTCAGTATCGCAGCAGCAGGTCCTGACGAGAGTTGTATTGTAAGTTGCATCGTTGAGAAATTAATCATTAACAACTATGACTCTAGGCTACACATGCATCTATACTCGGAATGAATGTATTTGATCGAAACACGGCTCCTGTCAATGCATGTCTTGCTGGCGAAAATGCCTGTAAATCAGAGACAGCAAGTGGCGCAAACGCAACGGTGTGTTGCTGTTCATCGGAATTGTGTAATGGACGATCATTCATTTTAACAACAACAACAACAACAACAACAACAACGCATTCTGACTCTTCTACGGTCTTCTTGCATTCGTCTTTGATCATGCTCGGATTATCTTTTCTAAACTGTTTAATGCAACAAATATTTTAATTGATTGTTTTTTCTATTTTGATTTCGCTTCGTACATCGTGCAATAATCAAGAAGAAAGAAGTATTATAAAATCTTTCACTCAGAATCAGCAAGTTGAATCAAGCCTTTGTGTCCTGTGTCATGAATCTCTAGTTGAAGTCCACTAGATACCAGTTACATAGGAACGAACACATTCTTGATCTCAGAAAATTCTAACTATAATTGTTTAGTAAGGTTCCCTACGATCTACGATCGCTATACTTACAATCGAAGAAAAGACGAGGGCACTTTTCATTAACAATGCCGAACGAAAATAGTAATCACTATCCGTGACTAGCAGACTACTTTCAGCAAGAAGAATATGATAAAATCAAATAATTCGGATGGTTATTTCGAACACTTTTCCTGATACCGAAAGCAACACTACTTCTTTGCTTATCCTACCAAGATATCGGATAGTTTTATATACAGTGTTATCAGTATCATTTTTTAACTTTAATGAATCTCAGAAAGTTAAAATCATCGTATTGTTTATTATTATTTCGACACCATTTAAATCAGAGTTTTTTGGAATTTATCAAAAACGAAAACCATGACCTTATTTTGACATTTTAATTAAATCGGACAATGGGATGCATCGAGGAAGTAACCAACCAATCATCAGACAGACACGTTTGGGAAGCTTTCAGGAAAATATGGCATCAAATCTCGACTGAACATCGATATTCCTAGCATTTCTAATCTCAATCAAGTCTCACCCTTGTTACAAGTCAATCGATAGCATTATATCTGATCATGTTAGTGAACTATGATACTGTACTTTCCTGAAAACAACACAAATAGATGACATAGGTGAGTAGTTTTTGGCTTTCAGATGCATGTTCAATGATCTATAAGAAAAAATGTTTTCTCTCCAAGATTAGTCAAATATTGGCGACGTGGGTTTATAATAAAACCTATTCGACACTAGGAGACGATAAAATATATATAGAATCGAAATCAAAGACTTTTTAGATTGATTACACACATGACACTAGTTTTTTTCTCGATATGGAGAGGATTATTTATTTCTTTACGATTTTCTTGTAGGAAATACTATATGAACATCTTCAGTGAGCATTTTTGACTGTTCTTCGAAGCAATTTTTCAGGTACACTCTCACAGTCATTGCATCTCAAATCTGATTCAATTGAAATCGAATTCAAGGCACTGACTTGTGTGTTTGTGTTGTATGTATGTGCTTCATGAAAGCGAAAAATAATTTGCCATAATTGTATGAATAGTGAAACCTAATAGTTTGTTGTTTTTTTCAATATTTCAATCTCAAAACTTATTTAATATCGCTAATATCACATTAGTTCTTTGCAAATGTCTTTATTAGTATTATTTTTATTGTTAATATCTTTCATTGATATTGTCATCCATTACTCTGCATGAAAGAGTCTCAAAATGCATACTTTCGTAATATTACTGATAACACTATCACATCGGTATCAACACAAGGTGTGCATTCGTCAATTGCTTATCAGAGTCTTTCTATGCAAATGAAAGCAAACACGTAATATATCTTGTTGAAATACATCGTCTATTCTCCATGAAACAGACCCAAGAGAAAGGACGTAT